TACCGCTGAACTGCATCTATGTAATTTAATCGGTGCTTGCTTAAAGCATTTCATGAGACATTTAACAAACCAAAGAAGGGTTTTGTGATAAAACACCTGCGTTATTCATCGAACTACGGGTTGACTTGTATTAGTAGAACATATTAATATTGATAGCACCTACACTTTTGACATGTGTTGAGTCGATAGTTCTTGTGGCTAATAACACAATGCAACAACGCAGATATACCACCGTCGTTCGTTTAGGAGGAAGAGAGACACGTGTTTTACTCGTAATTGTAGGCCTGGAACGTTCATCCAAACTGTCAACAAACCATTTTGCTCAGCTGGTCACTATAAGCATACAGCACTAGACTGTAGTGCTCGCATCGGTTAGAACGCTATCAGTTACTAGGGTAGGCGGTGATGTCATTCCTTGGTTACATCTGGCCGTCTCACTTCAGAAGTTAACTAGTTCAATGCCCATTTGTAAAATTTCCCTCGGTTGACATAACCGTTGTGATCTGAAATAATTTGTCCTTAGGCAGTACCAACGGCCCGTGCGTATGACTGCGGCGCACCAGCGTGTACAGGAAGGGAAGATTCTGTAAGACGAAGTAACCATGTGACTTCATAGGTGCGACCTGTGTGCCATCGTCCACATGCAGTAGTCGTTCACATTGAGTATTTTCCTCCACATGACCGGGAAGAATAGTTTCTATACTCAAAGTTTGCACTACGTCTCTACAGCACCGATCGCAACACGCGAAACTCGTTCACTCTCCATCGGGCTTTTTATGACTTTCTAACTGTTACATCCATATCTAAGGTGCTGCTAGTGAATAACACCAGGGCGCACATTTTAAATTTACGTGAGGTACAACAGATAAACATTAACGTTGCAAATCAGTTGGAAAGTACACAAACTCCAAGGGGTAAACGTACGCTTACCACTATCATTTACTACAAATTGACTTTATGTTTACGTTCTTGTGTGACGTAATGTATACAACCAAAGGTTCCTCCGGTATCTGAACGAACTGGGAGACCATGCGTACTACAGCGTATGAATTATCACAAATAAATGTTACTACATTCTCGCTTCTTTGTATACCCAACCATAAAGTTGCAAGGTCGGTGACCAGCTGATAGACAACGGGTGTAACTTTCGCCCGGTTATGAATGCTTACATTGAAGTTCGCAATAACGTATGCGTTTAGTGGCAACACTATTCGCGTTGCAGTCCTGTAATCTGGTCACCTACATAGTCGATTGAATATGTGTTCATTTCTGTAAACACTATGCGCTCCACATCAATAAGCTTGTGAATAGGTGGCTTTCATGCAAATCAATCATCTAGCGAGGAGGTTAGAAGGCACATTCAGAACACGGGTATCCATTAGGTTTGACAATACTGCTGCCATTAACTCTTCGTCAAAATGAGTCAGTCAACATCTTGGACTCTTACGGGGGGCTTTCGGCAATTCTGAGCCATCCATCTTCCGCAAATGCTGAACACCTACGTAAGGCCTCAAGTGGAATATGCGATCCAGGTCTGGCGTCCCTGGCGCAAGCGCGATGTTGATGCACTTGAAGCTCCACAACGTAGAGCGACCAGACTCGTTAGGGAATTTTTTCACCTCTTCTACCATACTGCAGTCCCTGAGATTGTACAATGGTGAATATCCACGTCAGCGAGGAGACCACCTGGTTTACTTAATATTGACAAACCCAAATCACTCACGTCGCAACCTGTTGCAGCTGAGCCGAAATACCAACCTGAGCGTTCATCAGCTTAGACTACCTACGCGCTACAGTCGACTTGATTGTCGACGAAACGTTTTCTTCCTCAGTGTGTCCCGCGCCTGGAACGCCTTTCCAACTCTCGTTATCCTTAACACTACTTTAACGCTTTCAAATAACGCCTTGATGAAAAGCTTGCAAACTGGCATTACTTGATATAGTCCGTTCCACTTAGAGGACAAAACAACACAAATCTAGCCATGTGTTTAACGGCCCTCTCCTCAATGTGGTGGTGAGGATATATGCAGTAGTGTCTATGTGATTAGCTTGGATGCAGCTAAACTGGATTAACCTATCACATCCGTCAAATGAAGAAACAAACGAGTGGGCGTTGTCGTTTCCTCTTTCATTTCTCAAGCACTTACTGCAATATAACAGCGCACTAAATTATTTTGATTGTACACATCCCATTCCCACTTAAAACTATCGTTATGCAGTAGTGCATTTAACTCGGTGGACGTTTGAAATAACGATTTACTTATTTGATGATCCTTCAAATTTTAATTTTTACTCCAACCATCCTACGGTACTTGTCAAGCACATTCTTTTTACCCATAATAAATCATTCTTTATTTTTTATTTTTTCATTGTTCATCAGTGTTCATTTTTCATGGTTCATTGTTGATTGTTCACTGTTTATTTGCTGTTGTGCCAGGTTAAGTTACAAGCTCATCAGAAGTCAGACAAGGTAGCCTCCCACCAATATGTCCCCATCAGTAAACGCAAGTTTATTTGGTCAACAGGAGATCACATTGCTGTACCCATTATTGGCAGCAAAAACCAGTTTTGTGAGCTGCATTGATAATGAATATTACCAGGGTTTTGCAACCGCAGCAAACCATAAATTAGCAGTTGGAATGCATTTTCGCATGTGAACTGTGCTTTAAAAGTGCCAGCATCGGATTTTTACACTTCGCCGCATCAAGCGTTTACATTCTCAATATAAGAAATATGTAGACGAGAAAACGTAAAATAAAGTGATAGCAAGGCATTTTTTCTTTAGTTCTTCCCTGATTGTACAACCGTCACATTCGTTTGCTGCATAGCTGCGTTGGTGCGTCCATTGGGCAGCAATCGTCGAGCGAGTTTAGTTATAAAAGCGGTTTCCATGGAATCAAAATTTACTGGGCCAGCGTCTACTGTTGAGTATCGAGCTTCTCTGCAGAGATCCATATCCAGGCTAAGCAAAGCGTTAGCAGAGCAGAGCGCGATGCTCATACAACTCCAACCTGCAACTGGGAGGACTAGGCAGCTCCGCTGACTTCGTTCACTCGATTGTGTGGCAAAGAGTTGTCATCGAAGGTACATCTGTGGTACGTCTTGCTTTATTTCATGTTGACCTGTACACAAACCGTTTAACATCTGTCAGTATAAGCTTTGATTGTCACTGCCTACGGATCTACATTAACACCAAGAAGTTCCACGCATATTGTTGAAATGACATGGATACCGCGATTCGGTTAGTCGAAGCCTCAGTCACACCCATTTCTAAGTGGTTTGATGCTATACAAAACTACAGCTCGCTGAAAACGATATGCTTCAACTTAAAATGATAAAGGCGAAGATACGAGAACTACTGAAACTGTAGAAGTGCCCATTCCGAGTACTCACTGTTCAAGCCAATCAGGCTAGGATTATACCCATCGGTCGTCTCCTAAATCCTGTCCTATGCAGAGAGTCACAGCTACTTCAAGTTATGCTAGCGAGGAGACGAATCAGAGACCGCAGTTCTGCTAGTCGACCGCCTGGAGTTTGGAGTACTAAAGGTCTGTACTACACTGAAACTCAGAAAGAGCAAGCACCAAGAACGTAAGCATGGTCCAGGTGGCCTTTTTGAGCAAAACAAGAAGAATCGATCATTGCATGCACGCCTAAAGTCGCAATATGCTGGGAGCAGTGACCCTGTGCATTTGAGTTACCCTTCATAGCAGTTGCGATAGCCAAGTTGTTGTCGGGACGTCCATTCTCACCTGCCTATTTAGGAGGTGCTCGATGATTAACAAATATTACACCTTAGTACAAAAATACCTTAAAAAATCTGCGATTAAAAATTGGCCGGGGTTAACTAGAAAACAGGAAATCAACATGGGTTAGTTTTAACCCACCTTGCCAACCGGATAAATAATCAGTGTTGTCAAGACGCCTACTGTATGAGAAACAGAACGCTGACAATACCAGATGTACAAAATAGTCCCATAAACAATCTGTGTGAAAGTCAAAGGTGGACACCGGTTCACTGACAACAGCCGGTTAAGATAGACTATCTATTACACACGCGAAGAGCCGACTGAGCTCAGACCAGACTACTTTATTTAAAGATAATTTTACACTTTTAACAGAACAGATAACAGTTGATCTTTTTGCTCCGAAAAATTTTATAACTTGACCGCAGTAACCGTGACCCGGTCAAGAAATAAAATCAGTGCTGAGCAGATTGCTCTACCTGTCAAGTCCATCTCGTATGACGATCTGGCTAATAGCGAATTATACTAATACTATACTTGTGCAATGACCCACATATCAATCTCCTTAATGGCAATAAACTTCCGTTAATCAGCTCGCGTTTTGCAGCCTGCGTCTAAAGCGTGGCAAAACCCGTCCATTCGCCACCCCCTTAGAAATGAACCGTGATCAGTTCTTCATCATAGAGAAGGTCCCTACACCAGCGTAAATTTATCTTTACTAGTAAGAGGATTAACTATATTTCTAGAAAATCAAGAACGCTTGATAAGCGATTTCAGGTAAACCACTGGATGCGTCGTTCACCAATCATTTAGTCACACAAGCTAATAGCATACAGAAGTCAAGGGTTCTGAACCCGCACCACTTAGGAAAACCGGAAGGTCGAAACGGCCGTCTGATGCTTTTCCAGACCTGTGGGAGCTTGCCTAGTTGAGAGGGGTTGCGATGCACCACCTTAAAAGCTTATGTTTTTTTACACTGGAGCTCAGTGCTATAGCTAACGAAGCGCGCTTTGCTCTGTTGAAATGTTACATATTGGTTTTTAGATAGGAACCTTGATATGTCTGCTGCATTTGAAAAGTATTTTCTTTATATTGGCATAAGGTATTGTCTTATTAACCATTTCAGAGTATACACGTGGGAGTAACCCATTTCACATACTTGGTCATTTTTGAACTTCCAAACCTGCGATACTTTTCCAATAGGAAAAACAGCTGTTCTATTGTTAAGCATTTTTATTTTTCCATATTCACCAGGACGGCACTACAGGACACGAAGCATTCGAACTGAAGGCAATCAACATCTCGAGTGACAGTAGGTGCGGTGCACACGAGACCAAGTTGAGCTTGGCTGCACGGCCAAACGGAAGCGCTGAAGACTGGCGGATCTGGTTCACATTTGTCAAAACTCTGTTTGACATTCAATTATACTACTCTATCGGGACTATCAGTTTTACTTACGTGGCTGAGCCATCACTTTTACCTGACATAGCAGTTCACGGTGAGTCGGGCAACTATTCTGTTGCAGGAACGCAGTTAGAATGCATCCCGTAATGCATGTTTACTTGGTTACCAGCTGGTTTCTTTTCACCGTCCATTGCTAGTCAAACACTAATGATGATTATACTATGAGCACAAGCAATGACCTTTCTGTAAACGCTGGCTGGCAGTCATGCAGGTCTGTCATTATCACGCATGGCTTAATGGCGGGGGCTGCTGGCTTCCAGAAGTCAAGTGGTCGGAACCCGGCAGGGGCCCGATGAAAGCGCACCACTGACGAGACCCATAAGTATCAATCGGCCGTCTGATACGTTTCCAGACGTGTGGGAGCCTGCCTAGCTAACAGTTGACGGCGATGAACTACCTCTAAACTCTTTGAATTTATCCATTCATTCTACTTCACAGTAATATCAATGAATCAATGAGTTGATGTCTACTATGTATAATTTTCTTTGGTGGGGATTGCATGCGTGGTATTGCTTCGAATCTCATTTGACTATATTGGTGATATTGATCCGGGGGCGAAAACCATGCAAACTGCTGCTTGCTTCGTAGAGTAAACATAGTCACAATAACTGCCCATGCCAAGTGAGAATTTCATTGTTGCAATCGATGAGCTGCTTTAGTGGGTACAAGACAGAACAACAGCTTAACACCGATAAAATAGCAAACACAAGAATTCCCGTAGATAAAGAGAGAGACCAAAAATTGGATGTATCAGAAAGTGGTAACGTGTAACGCTCGAATCATCGTGATGTGTACATCTGCACACAGTTTGGTAACGTTGTCCTTGGTCTCAGAAATTTGGATTAAATCATGTGATGCAGGTGGCGTAACGCACCATCACGTAAATTTTCAACTAAACGGACGTGCTCTCTCAGGTGTTGAGTTGTTACTCATGATGCTTGGCTTATACCAACAAAGGATATCGTGTTTAACTCATTCGGATGCTAATGTTCTTGCAGTTTGTGTTGAAAGTTCAGACGAACATGCGCGTCATCATTTGTCCCGGATAAACATCAGCGTAGTCGCATGAGCTAGTGCAGCACACCGAGTATAGAAAGCAAATACCACTCTAGCCAGAGTCACACTGCACATAATGCACTAAGAATTTTAAGTATTTTTGTGTTTTTATTCCATCGTCTGGTATACTGGGCGTGCTTTTCTGCATGGGTTGCAAGTCACAATGACCAATCGCGAATGATCTGGGGAAAAAGCCAGTATTACTTACATTACTGATTGGAATTTGTTCTTTCTATCCATAGGACTGCAACACTTGAATTCATCCGATTCGTTGTTCAAAGCTCCGTTAGGCACTTGCTACAAATGCGAAACTGAGAGAAGTGTTTCGCTACAGCAGCAAAGCGGCGGTAAAAGCACTGCCATACTCCGCATATCCTCTGCAAAAATTGAAGCGTTTACGAATTCATCAACAGGAGCGTTTTCTGACAAGGGTAAGCAACCATAACCACTTGGGTATTCTCTGGTATAATTAATAATAACGGAACCCCAATATTAGCTTTATACATGCAAATCGTTTGTTTAAATTGCAGCCGCTGTCGCAGTTTTGACAGCGATTTACTTTGGAGTAATTCAGGTCAATCTGGTTTCTTGTATCTGACTAAGTGGAGGAGTCTTCGGTTAACTGGCTCCCGACAGTGCATTCTATGAACAGCATGTTTCTTATTTTGAATCCCTATGTTAGGAAAACGGAGACTGGGAGTAGAAATTGGAATGTATTTTGCTTTGGTTGATTTAATCAATTTTCCATTGAGCTTCGAGCGCAACGCCTGACTTAGGGTTACTATAAATGCACTGGGTATTCCAAAGAATTGAAACAATTCTGATTCTACTACCGGTATGATTACGTTCGGTCCCTGTTTGTTAAAAATTCTAAGATTTATCTGTGGAAAGTGTAATGTTTAATCCTATGGCATGCCTAAGGTAGGACTAATTTATGTAAGGCTGACTAGTGAACTGCGAACGTCCAGATTTGGCCACGCCATCGACATTGACACAATTACCAAAGAATAATAAGATAAGAAGATATGGGAAACGGAACAGACTGCAAGTTCCTTAAAGTGATGAAGATTAATATTTACGCAAATAATGTTTAACACAGAGATTAGACAAATACCGCGGGAATACCAATGGGTTCGCCCTTGCTTCGTATAAACTGAGGTAATTAATCCCCTTTATGTGCAAAATATCCCCACCACAAGAGGATTACTTTTATCAAACTCAAGGTTGTCATCATACTATAAGTTATAGTGAAATATTCCACAGCCATGATTTGTCAACAAATCTTCACCAATTAGACAATCACAGGATTTAATATGTTTCGCATTTACTGTAGTCCAAGCGTCTCAGAACAGCGTCTTGCTTAACGCCTTTGGGTCACAGAACTGGGAATTACTAGAGATGGGATTATTTTTAGCAATTGGAAATAGAAATCCATCTCGTTCCACAGCTGGGATTGTCCAGGTCGGATTTTAAAGTTGAGCTTTACGTGGGCAAAGAATTCTGCTTTGAAATTTGAAGAAGTTTTTTGTTATACTCTCTAAAATACGCATCATGTGCATTAAGAATAACTATCAATGTTATCTGCGACAGATGATGGCATGTACGGATTCCAGTAACCCATGAATCTATACTAATATCCGTTCTCTACAGCAGTGAGAGTGTATCCAACCCCAGTAGTTGATGGTTACAGAATATCATAAAAAGAGGATTATTTCAGACTCGGTTAATTGCTTTGTTGTAACAGAAACATCTAACCACGGGACATGAACGAGCTGCATAAAGGCTGAGGTGCACTGAAAGTGGTAAACTGTTGTTACCTTACAAGTGCAATACAGGGAAAACTTCACTACCAGTTTTCTGATTGACTCAAATGTTCTGTAGTGCTTACAAAGCAAGTGCAATGAAACTGTGTCCTACTATGGATTGGTAGCAACTAAAAGTAGGTTGTGTTGTCATTGTCATTGGTTCCACCAGTGTGTAACTTGTCAACCCAAAGTGTCACAAAGAACGCAAACTGAAATTTTCGGAAACGAGTCAGAAGCCATTGGCCAAAGTAAACAGAGGCATATGCAGTTGTGTACCAACAGGTTTAGTATCTTCAAACAACAAATCTGTAGTCATTTGAGGAAAGGAAGGTCACCCTAATCTTTAAAGTGTACAACTTGGCTTTAGCATATGCAAGAGCCGAGCTACCATGGGCTCAGAATACATTCTCCGACCAGTTTACCCAAGTTCACCTGCTTTAGTTCGCATGTAATTGTTCCCGTTCAAAGTTTGTCTGTCGTTTTTTCACCCAAATCTCGATATCTACCAAATACTTTACTTATCTCCTCTTAATTTATTCCCAACCGCCCTGTGTTTAAGCACCACGGTTTGGAAGCAGAGGAGGATTTTTGGTAGGCTTATATGGCATAGGAAAAATCTCTTCAACACCGACCTGGGTAGATACTCCTAGGTGCTTTTTTGAGGTTTTCTAAACGTTTCGAATTTGGTCTTGCTCTGAGTCGACCACTCGGAGACCCTGATGAGGTCACCATGCAGTGTTATGTGGTTTCCGATATTTTGATAGCCCTATATATTTTGCGATCATCGGGATGATTATAAGTGCATCGGTTACCATCCTCGAGAGATAATTAGGGCATATCAAAAACAGTGTCGGCTGATGGCCAGGTGGTCTGCGCGCCTGGTTTGCAACCATAAGGTCACCAGTTCCAATCTGCGTAGGGGTGGGCGTCCTCACGTTATACTCAGCCCGTGCGCGACTGGTGGTAGTCGCATGGTAGCGAAGCGCCGTTACGGCTTACAGCTGATACATTATTATTTATTTATTATCAAGAACAGGTGCGGCTCTAGCACCGATAATTTAGGACATGCTCCAATACCCACCTACTGAATCGGATCATAAGCCAGGAATTGTCATAATCAGACAAGGCTAGAGACTGAAAATTGGGTGTTGCCCACCCGGAAATACTGCCAAACCACGACGCGTTTCGATATCATTTTATCTCATCAGGTAGAGATTGCAGGCCTTGAATCCGCGACCATTGGAATAGTAGCCGAAACCACTAGCCCTTTGGCTACCGGGTCACGACGGGTCAGAATAGAATCACACCTATTCTGCGCAGGACAGGATCGCTTTTGCTTGTAAAAATTACGCGACGACACAGTCAGTCGAAGGGTTCAATAAGTCCAACTGACCTATGACAATGCCCTCCTCAAATTAGACGTACTCTGTCCAACTTGGGGTAAGTGAACGATTCCATCTAAAACCAGGCCAGTTCATTGGAATGAGGTGGCATCCCATCAACTAACCCATGAATATTCCTACACTGGTAACTTATGTGAAATTGCAATACATCGAGTCCAGAAAGCATGTTGCGTCTTTCGCACTATGGAACCTACAAATCGTCGACCGATGGAAAATGAAACAATGCTTCAAAGATGCTCATGCTAGCCATATTTAATGGCTGAAGCGAGTGTCAGCTGCATCAGGAGACCTGTACCAACAAGATTCATGTCTCTTCAATGACGCTGTGGCTGCGACATAGGCAAGGTTTGGAGCTGACTATGACTTCATTTGTGCTATTTAGTTGAGACTGTGGAACGTCAGGGAAATCGAGCGAATTGGTTTCGAAGGTCGTACGCTACTCCTATACATTTTGCGCTTGCCGATATGTGGAATTTAAACTTGGATTTCATATTTGTACTCATTGGAACTTTTTGACGTGCCCTTAAAACAGGTTCGGATTAAAGTGGAACGGCAGTCTTGTGTACCCGTTCTGTCCGGTTATGTAAACTTCTCAGTTTTCCACTTAAGCAGTGGATTTGTATTCTTGCTCAAGTAAGTACACCAAGGCCAATAGTTATCGCTTTCTTAACTTTACAGGAACAACTTTAAATTCTCGAAACTGTGCACCTGTGCCAAGTTTACTGAACCAAATAACGAGTTCCCTCGGATGACAGTTAGCGCACATTTTCAGCTGAAAAGGGCCAATTACTGACTTGATCAACTCAGATCCAATGTTCGAATGGGTGGTGACTATGGTTTTTACTTACTAGGAAGTTAGTGAGTTCGGTCACTAGGACTACTGCCGTAGCAGCCACGAAGTCAAGTGGTAAAAGCACCCCATGTTTGACTCCCTGTTTGGATGTCAACAGCTGAAGAGAAAAAGCAGCATGAAACTGGCGGTGCAGTAAAGATTGGGTTACCTTTCCTCAAATGTACAGCGTAAGAACGAAGAAATAACTAGTTTTCTAATTTACACTGACAAGGTCAGTGGTGGATATCTTAATACTGACGTTCAATAACATTTCCGTCTATGGGACTTTCTTCATCAATGGGGAAGTTTCTTGTTTCCAATCCATCATGGGAAACAATAGGACCAATAGTTGATTTCTGTTAAACGTTTAGCAAGTTGTCTGACTCACATTAACACAATTGCTATACGACGTCCAACTATTTATTAGTGCTACTGAAACGAACGTTTATTGCAAAGAATACATTGACCCACTGTGATGGCTACAAGACATCGATTAAACACGACACTGGATGGGGAAGGATATCTGCATAATATGCGTTGATGTGTGGCAGAATTAACAATGAAACCATATGTGTGTGTGTGGGTATGGTGCTCATGCTTGAGGCAAACAAGTTGAACATATGGTTAACATTCCCTAGCGAATGCTTACTTGTACAGTGGAACAATAATTTCAGCAAAGTTTACACAACGTGCTCTAGCGAACCGGAGATATTTTTAGAATGTGACATACGCAAGTATTCTTTGGTCAATTCGTTTAAGATTCCGACTCTTGTGTTTGGTGGTAAGCATTCTGAATATATCCTAGATGACATAATAAACATACAAAGATTGTATCCAGATACGTGAGTTATCTCAAATGTGTCGCCAAATACTGGTTCATCAAATGGTATACAATGCACAGATCTAGCATTCAGTCAGTCAGTATAGATAGATTGCTATGTACCCGATTTGGAATATTTACAGCATTTTACACCAGCACTGCGGATATATTGGAGCATGGTATTACAGCAAAATCAGGACAAAGAAATGACAAAGAAAATATGTATGTATGTCACCCAAGTAAATGTTCATGCGTTGTATTGATATCGCACTTGGAGGCCACAAGAAAACGGAATAAATACAATAAGACAAAGTTATGCTATGATGTTGTGCGAGAAAACAAACTCCTAAATGCAATGCACGTGGACTAACAGGAGAGAACTTATGAAAAAGCTTGATGCAGTGGATGGTAAGATACATTCAAAACCGATGCAAACTTTTCTCATGCACAAAATGGCAAAGTAACGACAAAGACAACCAGAGAATCTCCGAGTAACCCACTACATCTGAAAATCAGCGCAATGGAAAGCGCAGTCAATGTGAAGTCTTTTAGTAGCAGACCAGAAAAAATGACAAGTAAGCTATAGAGTCAATGGTGAAAAATACAGACAGTCACGAATCCGTAAACTAAAGGGCAGGGTACTGAGAGCGTTTTGAGTTTCAGAGCACTAAATGATTATTTTCGCTGCTTGTAGAACGTTCCGTCAACTTGTCTTGAGCATGACGGATTTGGAGTTAAATATACACGAAGGTACTTAACGGTGGATGAACCAGCTATATTGTGTTATCTCACAACCACTGTGAGAGAAGTGTTTGCCAAAGTTTGCCGTTTATCATTGCAGTGAAAGAGAAAGTTACACCTCGGCATTTCAAAGTGTTTCGGTAATAAGGGATCGGGAAGGCGGCCAATTCTGAAGCCCATCCAACCACCTTTGGAGAGCCGTTCGAGCCTTGCTTTCTAGAACTACATCGTAGTTTCGGGATATTAGATCCCTTTCGATGTATAAAGAGAATAAAACGGCGCAGAGAATTGCCCCTCCTAAAACGCCTCAGTCATCACGAAGAGCGGATGACAATGTACCGTCCACAGGAGTGAAATCAGAGCGAATTGCGCAACAGCTGCTCATCAGGTTGCACCATGTTGGTTAAACACTATTCGCCGACAGCTACTGACATTTACAAAAGAGTTGGAATTATCAAGGTAGTGAAGGTGCATAATATTGCATTTCGAATCCAATGGAGATGGTATTGATTGGACAAGCTATGTCCTTGCAAACCAGGTGGAACGTCGGGGTTTGTAGTATGACTGAAATACATCCTCAGCCAGAGGCTTGTTTGGATCTGAGCAACAAGTCGTTGCTTTAAAACCTTCGGCATGTCGGAATGTACATATCGTCGGATGGAATTTCAGTGATTCCTTCTTTGGCATGTGTGTCACCTTGACAGGCCTCTAAATGTCGAGGTTGGTGTCACCATGCAGACAGTGCTTGAAAACATCTGCCAGATTATGCACGTGCACAAACTGGAGTGACTATCTGCGCTTACACTTTTGGATGGTTTATTTTCCCATTCAGCGACCAAGGATGACTGATTTCAAGCAAAGTATAGGGTGTTTTAACAGTTAATACCTAATGTCTACTATGATCGGGTTGAACATTGGCCTATTCTCACTGTTGCATAACCCGGTCAGAATAGATAAGCTTGTAGCTGGATTGATTAATTAATCAATAAAACGACTGAACACAATCCAATGTTAAGGTTGGAACGGTATTAACTCGGAGTGTTCGTCGTGACCCTAAACTGCTGTGTGCTGGTTAGGCGTCACCCAGGGTCTTTCAACCCCACGTCGATTTATGACGTGGGTTGACGCCATGTTATGGGGAGACTTTAGACGGAGGATTAATGGGCATTCGTTAACATTGTACAATCCAGCATTATAGCTCCCTTGGCATTCCACTGATCTTGTGTAGTGCTGTACTTGAATCTCTTTTCAAGCTTTCTTGTTGACAATCAAAGTAATATCATTGTCATATACTGTCACGTTATACAACTCCAAATAACAAGTACGTTTAATACAATCGAAATGTTTTGGCTTGAAGAACCAGTGGTTGTAGCAGAGCAAGTTTGCAATTTGATGTACTTATCTCCCCAATATTTACTCCGTTCAGTTACTACCTGCAGTGCTGATGCAACCGAAGACAATATTGTGCCAATCGCTGTGGGAATCACACTGGCGGTTTTGATCGTGACTGCTCTTGTGGTGTTCATTATTTTCAGTCGCCGAAACAGACGATTCTACGACGCTACCTGACATGTGTCTTCTAGAACCAGCACAACTAAAACTCACGAAAGACAAATTGGTGTCGGGATACAATTTTTGCATTGACATTGCCAGCTGATTTATTTCTCTATGTTGTAGTTATTTTCAGTTGTCAACCGTCATTCTGCGCGCTATCGTGCCTATTCTTGAAGCCCATCTCATCATGGAGAAACGCTTCCCGGTATCATCAAAACGGAACCTATATACATTAAGCAACCACTGTCTTCCCGCGTATTTCTGGTTCCAACACTTCACCCAAATTTCTTGCATTCCTGTGCACGTGAATAAAGGTAGAACTATTTTTATACGCATCTGCTTGCAAGTACAAGCTTTAGACTGCTGTTTTATAATACATACCTTCGTTGCATCTTGTCAGTCTTAATAATTCTTTTAATACGGCATTGCTAACCCTGATAACGCTGCAGTTGATTTCCTCCCGATTTGTTTCGGCTGGATGTGGGCTTAGGGTATGTATGGTATGGTGAGGAGTTAACCGGAATTCTTCTCATTTTTCAAAGTGTGTACCCAGTGATGAATTAGATATTTCTTCGCGAATTTAGATATTCTAGTGATTAGAATTAGATTACATTAGCTTCCTTTAGTTCTGCTGTCACTGACTTTTCAAATGGATCGTGTAGTGCTTGCTCGAACTTTCGACCGCCTGTCCCACATGTACGCGCAGGTTGTTTCAAGAACTACGAAACACATAATTCTTGCTGCCATCTATTAGTCAATTAGTGCTTATCGCCTTAGTATTCTTAAGCATCGTCTTGTAATATAACAGTTTCGTTTATTTGCTTAATCGCCGTAACGCGACCTGCACTGTTGCGTGCCTAGTTCTCGCAGCCGCGTCAAGAGAAAAAACTCACACCCGCACTGCACACAAACGCTCTAATTACGTCTGAGGTAATGTATAACTAGCCCACTCGATCGATCGCTTTATCGACCATATTGAGGCAGGCGATTCCCTACAGCCCAGCTTTCAGGCACCATCAAATCTTTTCCTTTGTAATTGTTCCGCAGTTTTTGTGTTGCATTTTTAACATCTTCGTCCACTGCGGGCGAGCTTCCGGTCTACAGACATGGTGGTCGCAGTACGGTTTGTTGCATTGAACCCTCAGCTGCTGTCAACAAGTTCCTTCGCCTCCGACTGAAGCAACGTTGAATCAAACTTATCCCGATCTCGGTAGATAACGCTATTCTTCATTCGAGTATCATCAAGCGAATATCCCCATTTGTCTCCTTGAATATGTGAAGTCGTTTCTGTATCTTATTTTCAGTTTTTAAGACAATGTTTCCTTTCGTCCGTATCCTAGGTCCGTTCGACTCTTTGAAGCGACTGTGTGTTGTACTGCACTCTATTCCGATGCAGCTTTCCGAGGGTAGCATGGTGGGGATGGTTCTTGAATCACGCTGTGATGATGCTGGTCGTTTTTGTGTCTAGGGCTTTGGAAAGACGTATTCTTGTTCTCTAAGACCTTCTGCGTACTTTATAGTGGAATCCTTCGTGGCTTGCTAATATTCACTGTCCACTGAACTGGCAACGACCAACCAGCTATAACTAGCGATGAGGGTCAATCGACCTTTACAATAGTTCACACATCCCTCGATTATTTGGGAAATATCCATCACTCCATGATGGTCACAGGAATTCCACGCCTCCATTATACGGCACGCTCCGTGGCCGATAGCGTATCGGATCATGGTCATCTGGTATGACTTCGGATATTCATCCAACTGGATCAACGATTCGAATTCCATCCAATTCGTTTTCCACGTTTCCAGTTGTCAAGTATCGTGCTTGCAGTCATCTGTAGAGCAGTCGGCCATGGGATCGACGGCTGTCCACCAAAAGCGAGCGGGGTCCGGCGAGTCAACTTCTTCTCCTCTGTCACTATGTTGCGTGCTCGGTTCTCCCAGTTGCGTCAACAGAAAGAACTTACACCGGCGATGCACAAAAATCGTTCTATCCACAAGGCTGAGGTAATGTATAACTAGGTGTGATTTTAAATACTCACGCGCCAACTCGATCGATCGCCTGAGCGACCACATTGAGGTAGGCGATTCCCTTCGCCCCAGCTTACCTAATCGCTGTAACGCAAGACATGCACGCCTTAGCCAAAAATGAAATCATATTAGAAGAGTCCAATTCTTGTAAAGCGGAAAGCAAAACGGTAGCATACTAGAGGGCAAAAGCTGATTAATTACATATTTTGCTGAGCGATCATATGAATAATTCCGCTTTAGCTATGTAAAGCCATGAGGCGTTTAACACATGAAACTTCCTACCAAAAACACCGATATTTTTCTGTGTGGTTTAGATTTATACTGTTCTTGCTTAAACATCGGGTGATAGCACGCTGTACTGCTATATGAGTCCTAGAACTCCGGACATCATTTCACAGCACCAGCACGGTTTTTATTAACACCGATCATGTTCACCCAATTTACTGATTTCACATAGAAGTTTGACGGAAGTGACCGACATAGGGACAAGGACCGGTGTCATTTACCACGACTTCTCCTAAGCCTTCCATAGCCTGGCACAACAACAACAATACATCAGCCATTTGAACTGATGCTTCGCTGCCATACAACCATGATGACTTATGAAATAAAGAATACTAAGAGGGAGAGAAGGCGGACTTACCTGAAAACCTTAATGCCCTAAGCAAAGATTCATGGTCAAGGCAACTGCACCTTGTGTAGACAACATATTGTCACAAACAGCTGGCTATCGTGCAAAGATAAGGCGGCATCGGCGAGACAGCTTCCTTGCGGCTTTCACTGCCCCGCGTCATAATCAGTCATTACCCCGCAGATAACTCAACACCAAACACACTTTAAACAGACAATCCGATTAGGAGACGGCAGCAGACGCGCCACTGGTGTCGGTTGCGAGCCATGTCCTGTAAAATCTCGAGCGAAGCACAAGGCGAGTCACGTGGACTCCAGCCCGGAAGGCGAGACGGACCAACGGCACCCAATTTGGTTGTCAATAATTTCACTTTCTGCAGACAAGTCAACTGGCACATCACATTCTGTTTCTCAAGCTCGAAAACTAAGAATTCTGGATTTATAAATAATGAAAGATGATTTATCACGGGTAAAAACGCATCTGCTGGACAAGTCCTGTAAGATGGTTGGAGTAAATATTAAAATTGAAAGGATCTTCGAATAAGTAAATCGTCGTTTTAATCGTATAACGCTTTAAATGCAATACTGCATAACGATAGTTTGAAATGGGAATGGGATGTGCACACACAACCTAGTATAGAGAGCTGTTATATTTCAATAAGTGTGTGGGAAATAAAAAAGGAAACGAGCACGCTCAGTCATGTTTCTTCATTTGACAGATGTGTTACGTTAATCCGTTGTAGATGCATCCATGCTACTCAAAATGACATTTCGGCATGTATTCACATCGCAACGTTGTGGAGAGGGCCGCTAGGCACATGGTTTGGTTTGTGTTATTTCGTCCTGCGAGTGAAACAAACTACATCAAATAATGCCACTTGCAAAGCGTGTCATCAATGTGTTGTTTGAATAACGTTAACACAAGGGCAAGGCTGAGGTGAGTCGGAAAGGTGGTCCAGGCACGGGACACACGGAGGGAGCAAATGTTTTGTCTACAGTCAAATCGACAGTGGTGGGTAACCAGTTTGAACTGATGGTCTCTCAGGTTGGTAGTTTGGCTCAGCTGCAACAGATTGTCGCCTGGGTGAATTGGGATTGTCAGTATTAAGTAAACCATGAGGAAGTCTCCTCGCAGACGTTGATATTCACCACTGTACGACTTCAGGGACTGCAGTCTGGGCCGCTAGGAGAGATGAAACAATCCTCCAACGAGTTTTGTTGTTCTACGTTGTGAAGCTCCAAGCACATTAACGTGGCGCTTGCATCGGGAACGCCAGGCCTGGATCGCATATTCCACTTTGGGCCTCATGTAGGCATTCTTGGGTGCATCTGAAATTTCATGCAGCAAACACAACTACAGGTTAGAACTCGAAGTATGTTGTTCGGTCCAGTGCATGCGGAATGCCAAGTTCTAAAAAAATCAATGCTGGGGTCGCGCTTGTTTCTCGTGTTCATCAACGATTTAACGCGTCCGATGGCCTCGGATTTCCTAACTATGCTGATGCTGTAAGGCTGTAGCGGGCGACCGCGACCAATGAGATCACTGTGCCTTTCAGAGATCCGGAAAGTGCGTATAAATGATTATTCCACAAATTGCCACAGTGTAATTCGTCCAACCATAAGGTAATCTACATTTGTCATGAGCTGTGTACCAACGATACGAAGCCTAAACCAAGTACGTCGTACGAAAACTAAACTAGAAACTACGAACAAATAAACCTAGACTTAAAGCACGGTTTGGGCAGAGGAATAAAACGATTTATCCTGTAGCACTGGTTCTATAAGGCATATTAAATACAGTACATGGCTTACGAATAGGTTTTGCAATCGCAGTTCAAGTGGGCAGAAATTGTACAGCGTGTGGCGGCTCGCGAATATTTGGGCAGTGCAACAGTAACTTAATAATATGAAGGACCTTGAAACGTCAAGGAAATATCAGTGCTCGAGTGAAAGGAATAAATATACGATATGGTAAGCGATTGTAGGTCACAGTAAAGCAATGTAAAATGAGCAGAATATTTAGGGAATAGAGATACGTTGTCCACATGTAAGCAATGCAAGTTGGGGATGCATCCAATTTCCTTTTGGACTTTACCCTCCCCCGGCGGTTTCGTATTCCGGACGATAGCTTCCACGTCATCAATCTCTTCTTCCTGGTACTCTTCTAGTAAGCATAGCTGTTTGACGTCTCTTCTCAATACACCTTTGCTTGTCTTCACCAGTGCTTGTCGAACTAATTGATCTTTGCTCTTGATAGTGTTCTGCACGACACCCTTAAGCTACAAACCAAATCGCCCTGCCTAATATCTCAAATTTCAGTTAACCATTTCTGCCTATTCTGCAGTGTCGGTAGATATACTCTGAACCACCTACGCCAAAACATATGAGACAGATGTCTTACCTGTCTCCAACTTCCTCTTAATTTGATTGGTAAGTTGATCGGTGGGTATTCAAGCGACTGATCATTTGCAAGCGTTAATAGTTGCTGAGGCGATATACCATCTTGCAAATCCGGGGCGTCAGGTACCGCATGTCATTTAATCTCCTTTCCATCTCGGTGTGTGTGGTTACAAGTACCTCTTTGGTTACAAACTCGCGGTTGAGAAGGTTACATAATATTTCACGACTCGCTCGAATTAATCGTTCCCGAAGACCTCCGCGTTGGCTAGCCTATGGAGGATTGAACTTCCAGTCAACCCCTCTAGCTAACATAGACTCTGTGATCTTCATCTGACCCAGCTGCTTCAGAAGATTGCGTAATCCAGCTTCAGCTCCGT